TCCGCGCTTCTCAGCACGACCACGCAGCAAGCCCAGTCCAAGCGGGACAAGGGCAAAGAGAAGGCGGGCGAGGAAGAGAGGAAGAAGAAGGAGAAGAAGGAGAAGGAAAGAGGGAGAAGAGAAGAAGACGAAGAAGGACGAAAGGCGAAGGAGATGCAGCTCGAGGAGAAGCAGACGAGGGCATCCTATTTTATTTTTGGAATAACCACCAGATCAGTTATTTATTAAATTCTTATCAACATCGCTGTTATTTCTACTTATCTCCTTCGCAGAACAACTCGGCTTCAACCTTATTTCTGCCTTTTCTGGCTTTTAGTTCTTATGCGGCCACACGACACGACACAGCACGACACGACACGCCAAACAAATGGAGAAGCAGGAGGCACCATCTCGGGCGCTGCACGAGGCGTGGAAGGAGTACCCCTCCATCATCCCGCACCACCTCGTAAGCAAGCTCGATCCCAAAGTACCTCTCCCCCCCCTCTTCTTTCCGCTCTTTCCGCCGTGCTCTCATCATCGTGTGGGGAATGTAGGACAAGGAGGCGAAGTGGGTGGTGCTGGAGAAGGTGCATGGGGCCAACTTCTGCTTCGTGGTGAACGAGGCCGAGGTGGTCACGGCGCGTCGCACGGCGGTGCTGCCGGCCGACGAGCGATTCTACGGCTGGCAGGAGGTGCTGACCAAATACCGGCCCGCCCTGCACGACCTCTACCACCGCGTCCGCACCCTCCCCAAACTCTCCGACACCACCGAGTACGCCGCACACGCACACGCACCCCCGCACACGCACACGCACCCCCGCACACGCTCACGCACCACCGCACACACACACGCACACGCACCACCGCACACGCACACGCACACGCACACGCACACGCACACATCTAATCTTGGTTGGCGACAGGGTGTGCGTGTTCGGTGAGCTGTTCGGTGGGAAGTACCCGCACACGGAGGTGGCGTGGCGGGACGTGCCCAAGGTGCAGGACGGCGTCTTCTACTCGCCCACGAT